CTCTCTCTCTCTCTCTCTCTCTCTCTCTCTCTCTCTCTCTTCCTATCCTTCTCCAGGCGACAAGGACAGTCACGAGCAGAACACGAACGAAATTGACGATTCGTCTTTAACCATTCTTCGCTCTGGTGGATCTCAAAAGTAAGCCAGAGTGGCGGAGGTAACCGACATAGGTAAGCCCATCGAGTATTCATGCGGCTTTAATTACCGGAACAAACTTTCGGCCCGATTGGAAAAGTTTCGACGATGCTGGCATACCTGATCGCCGTGCGAGAGAAGAAGCTTGAGCCGGCCGAGCTAAGAGGAGACGAGGATAAAGACGGAGGAAGATATTAAAGGCGATCCGTAGAACGAGCCTTCTCAGCTTCCGCATCTGCATGTTACGCGTGAGCTTACCTCCGCTGCTACTTTATGCCATTACCACATCTTTGATCGTCGTGTGTCTTTTACGACGTGCTCCAAAGTGACGCGGCAAATACATCGCGGTACAACCCGGATCGCGATACAACCCGGTAAAACAGCTTCTTAAAAATGGTTTGATTCAAAACGCGCTCGTACGCAATTATCTCTACAAGTATTACTGCGAATATTCAACAACAACTTGACACAAAATATAAATTAAAAGGTAAGTATTAGCATTTTACCAAGGAAAATGTAAGTCATCAAGTTACCGTTCAATTTTAACAATTCAAACTGGCCTTGGGCTACTTTTATTATTAAGCGGAAATAAAATAAAAAGCCCGATGGTGGAGATAAAAATTCATTTAATAATTTATTCACGATCGACGTTTAGATTATTAACGATGTTGAAAGTAAGTTATTTATCCACCTCGTTTGACTTTGCATGCAGAGGCATTAGCAGCACATTTCCGCCGTCCTTTTAATCCACATACATTCGCGCCGTGCACGGACAACGTGCATTGCGTGCGAAACATCGAAGCCTGAACGTACCAGCGTCGCGTCACATTCCCGCTTATCGAAAATCTTTCCACGCACTGTACGCGCGAGTATGTCATGGAACTCGGCTCATGCATCTTTGAGAAGCCGCGAAGTCACGGTTTCGCGTTTAAGAGCTCGGGGGCATCGATTACTCGAAGTACTTGTTAGCTATGCTAACGACGCTCAGCTACTTGCAGCGTTAGTTTAGTTTCATAAATGTTCTTCAACTTATGTAATTATTTTCTTTAGTTCTACGCCCTATTGTGTACGTTATCGTCCTACCTATTATTCGTTTTATTTCCCGAAGAACAAACATCTGCATCGCGGCCGATGTTGTTTTAACAATTCCGGTTCGTTAGGTAAACCGAATAGCTCAGAAACATATTGAAACCAACGATTTGCGTACGTGTCAGAAAATTTTTTTATGGACGTTTCCATATAAAAAAAAAAAAAAAAAAAAAAAAAAAACAAAATAGAGATATACCACGTGTCTTTGTATTGCAGTAAAATATTTTCTCATCATTCCACGATGCGTCATACAATTCTGTGTGATTGTCTCCCCTCGCGCGGGACTTTTCCGATCCACTTGCCGCCGACGGTATCGATGGGGAAAGTACAGACAACGACTTCTCGATACGACATCAAACGGCCGAAATAGCCGACTTTTACGAGCGCCCGTGATATGAGACCGGCGTCGCGACGCGTCGTTCCTGCAAATTCGAGAGCGTCGAACTCCCTACTCGGCAATCGTTCGTTCGATCAGAGGCGCGTCACCTCGAAATTTGGCCTCGACCGAACAATCGATACTTTCGTTCTAAAAGCAACATTCTAAAATCGCAGATAAGCGATTTAAAACGTTCTGAAAAAACAATTATTAAGAATCGCCTAAGAATCATCTACATAACTTGCAGCTTTGTAATTTGTTGATATTTTTAATATAACAGTTCTTAATTGAAAAGCTAACGATAAGTGAAATTTTTGCTACATTCATAAATACTGAATATTTAGTCATTTGTGTCTTAAATTGATAATTATTATATAATAGGCAGCGTAATAAAGTACAAAGTGTTTTCGTGATCCGAAAGACCCATATCGTTGGGTGCCCAAATGTGTCGTTTCTAAAGTTTTAAATCCGTTATCATTTAGAGCAACAGACGAGAGAGAGAGAGAGAGAGAGAGAGAGAGAGAGAGAGAAGAAGAGAGAGAGGAGGAGGAA